ATGTATGCAATGTGTTAATTACTGAAACTGTCCTACCAATTTGTTTTGAAACTGTCTCATTGCTATTTGTTTCTCAATAAAATTATGGGGAAAAAAAAAGAAAAAGAAAGCCTACAACAAATCCTACAGGAGCCACTCAGGAGACAGCATTTGTAAACCAAGTCTCCTAAGGGCTTAACAAATCAACTCGGGCTTTCTACAGATAAGTACTGAAAAAAGAATGACATCAAATCCATGCAAGCTTATGTCAGAAATACAGCAGCCTGCTAGAACAAGAACCCACACTTATCCCAAGAATATTATAAAATCCATAACATACAACAGATTGTCATGTACAGATTGCAACTGCAAAGGAAAAAGAAAAAAAAAGGACAACATACAGGGGCTGGGGAGACAGCTCAGTAGAAAAAGCACTTGCCTGGCAAGCACAAGGTCTTGAGTTCAATCCCTGATACTGAAAAAAAAAAAAAAAAAAGGACAACATACAAAGATGCAAGAATCCATGGTGAAGGAAAAGAAAGTCATAAATAGAAACTGTACTGGAGTTGATCCAGTGTTGACCTTAACAAAGATTCAAAAGCAGCTTTTATAAACATTGAATGAATAACTACTTTGGAAACATTATGCGATATAACAACCACTGTTAATTTCCTATCATTTTGTTTTGAAATTCTGTATCTATTTAATGTCTTTTTATTCTCTCTAAAATAAAACTTAAAAATTCAAAGAACTGATCACCTACCAACTCCTAAAAGAGAGAAAATATTAGCAGAAAACATTGAAAGTACATAAAGAGAACAAGTGGACTTTTTAAAAATAAAGTTATACAATTTAAGTAATGAAAATTTATCAAATGAACGTATTAACAGATTAGGTACAGCAAAGAGTTAGTGTCCTTGAGAACTCAGTAATAGAAACTATTCAGTGCAACAGTCAGGTTAATAAAGGATTTGTGTTCGACGGTGTGACCTCTCCAGCCTGCTGAGAATGGCCCCTGAATGCAAATACCGTGAGACTGGGTCAAAACATTTATAATAAAATCATATCCAAAAAATTGCCACATTTATTGCAAACTACTTCCATAGGTTCTTGGAACAGCAAATAAAAGAACAAATAAAACTACTAATTAGCAGAATTGTTAGGAAAATGACCTTTGCACAGTTCGTGCTAAAACTAATTCAACCCAAGTTAAAGAAAAAATTCTTAAAAGGAGCCTAAGTAAAAAAATAAAAATAAAAAATACACTATTTACACAGAAAAATAGATAAAAATATTTACTAAATGATAATTATTAGATAGATGGAGGGCCAAAGGCAATGTAAGAGTATCTTCAAAGATTAGAGAAAAAGATTGCTTAACTCTATATGCAGAGGAAATATCCTTCAAAAATGGGTGAAATGAAGATATGTCCAGATTAGAGAATTTGTAGCAAAATTACAACAAACCAAATGTTAAAAAATGTCATACCAAGGGAAAGAAAGTAAAAAGGATATTAGACAGAGCCACACAAAGAGGAAAGCACTATAAAAACTGTACAAAGCAAATAGACATACAATATTATATTATTTTTCTTTTTGTGAAAAGCATTTCAAAGACTACACTATTTAGAACCAAAAATACTAACACCTAAGCTGAAACGCCAAACACATGAAGGACAAGGTATTAGAGTAATCGCACAGAGAACAGAAGGTGCAGACAAATGAAGCTTGCACGGTAAAGTGCAAAGTGTAGACTGTGAGACCGGGCTACGGAAAGGGTGGGATTCGAAGCGCAGGAGCCGGACATCAGGGAAGAAGCGCGAGGTGTGCACTGTGGGCCCAGAATGGGCTCCAATAACTTCACTTTGTATATTTCAGTCAAAGTAACCCAAAAATAAATAAAACAAATGATCTCAAAAGCTAGTAGAAGAAACGAAATGGAGCATTCAAGATCTATTCGGTTTAAAGAAAATAAATCAAGAGGAACATAAACAAAATGTGTAAGCAAAAGGCCAAGAACAAAATGGTCATTTTAAACTGAACCAGATCAATAATTATGTTAAATCTAAGTGGGTTAACTACTAATTTGACAGGAAAAAAAGACATTGTCAAGTTGGATAAAAAAGAAATATTAATGTTTTGGCTGGAAGACAAGCAGCTTAGGTATAAGGTAGATAATTTGAACATGAAGGAGGTGAAGGGTCTGTTGTGCCAACAGTAAGGAAAAGAAGGCCATCATGACCACTCTAACATGAACAGCACAAGCTTCAAGACAGAGTTCTTCGAGGAGTACCAAAGACACTGCATAGTGATAAAAGGGCAGTCCACCAGGAAGAGAAAACAGCCCTAAATAGCTGTGTATTTCTTACTACATACACCTATGAGTTTATCAGACCCCCATCAAGCAAAAATGACAGTACTTAGATGTTTTCACTTTTCTCTTAGTAATTAATGGAATAATAAAAATCAATAAAGAGATAGAAAGTCTGAAGCATACTATCAACTAACATCACCTACTGGACATTTGCTGAACACGGCATCCATCCAAAACCTCAGTCTCCAAACAGACACAGCCGAATCATCAAAAAGTTTCAACTAATTTTAGACAATTAAAACCTTCAGAGTGCACTCTATGAAGCATTTGTCATTAGATGTCATTCTAGTCATTTAAACCATTCTACCACCACCATGAAGTAAACTAGAAAATAATTCGATACCTATAGAGTCTCTCCATATGTTTGGGAATCAAATCAATTGTGAGACAAAGAGAAAATCCCAAGAAAATATTTTAACCTGAACAATCGTGGAAAATCAGAGTTTGTGGGATTCAACCCAAGTGTTATGTAGTACTCAGCTAAATAAGAGGGAAATTCTCCCACAGAAGTGACACTAGAAAAGGCAAATGCTTTAGATCAATGCTGTAAGTTTCCATCTTATGAAACTAGGAATCGAAAAGCAAACTAAATCAAAAAGCAAGAGCTAAAAAAGAATAAGGAAAAAGATCAGGAATCAATGAAAATGGTGATGAACAAAAGAATTTTTACAAAGTGAAAAACAAGTCATTTGAAATCATAAATAAAAGTGATAAACGTGTGGCAAGGATGGTCAAGGAAAAAAGAAAACAAAAATTCTCTATGGCAAGAGCCAAAGTAGGTCAGCACAACAGAGCCTACAGGTGTCAGAGAGGTGCTGTGAGACCATAATCAACCTTAAGGCAGCATATTTAGCAATTTATGTGAAAGAAAAAGTTTAAAATGAGACTTACCTAAAGTGACTCAAAAGGAAAATTTTTTGAAGAAACATTTCTCTGAACCTTTCTGAACATACTTTTTTGATATGCTACTGACTTTCAGAACTCTGTCAATATTTTATATATTTAATAAATAAGGCAGTGATAAGAAAAGAGGCAAAGCAGAATATAAGCAGGAATAAATTAGCATAAATAGCATAGCCACACAGAAAAGGAATAAAAAAGGAACATTGATTTAGAAAGGAGAATATGCTAAGGCTAAAAGTAAAACAGAATAGTAAACAAAATTTGTATTCTAGTAGGATTTTCTTCACATGGATTTGTTCAGTATTTAAAACTACTTTATGGATATCCTAGGATTGTTTTCCTATTGCTAGAGAGTAGAGTTGGGTTTAAGGAACCAGAGGGCTAGAATGCACCCTGCTGTGTTGTCCTGGAATCCCAGGCAAAAGTGTAACTACTCCTACATGCCTATATCTCTAGCTAGCTAGCTGTCTAGCTAGCTATCATCTCTCTGCCTACCTACACAGAAGCTATCTGCAGTGACAGCCCTGCTCCAGCGAGCACACTTAGCACCCAGTCTTAGCTGACAAAGCATGAAAAAGGTGTTGGCATCGTAGATCCTTAGGAAAAGGCAAATGAAACCATGATGAAATAGAACAGACAAGCACACTAAATGCTACTGTGAGACCGTCAGGCTTCAGTGTTGCTTGTGATGCCCGAAGTGGGCATCCTTGATGCGTGTTGTGGATGGAATTAGAATGGGATGCAGTGACTTTGGAAACATCACGTATTTGCTTAACACACAGCACAGACATGCCAAATGAAAACATATATCCACATATGTCCACTTGTGCATAAAAATTTATAGAAGTTTGATTCAGAATAGCCACACTGGACGCAGTCCAAATGCCCAACAGCAGAATAGGTAATTGCATCATGGTATATTTTACTATAGGATACCACTCAGGTAATGAAAAGAAATGCATACTATTATACAAAACAATGTAAATGAATCTCAGAGTACAGACACAAAGCAGCACACATTATACAAGATTCTGTTCATCTCCAATTCTAGTTACTATAACAATAATCTGTAAAGTACCATTTGCTAGATGTTAAAATCAGACCAAGGTCCTCGTGAGTAATGTTCTCATAGGGAGTGACATAGGATATGAGGAAATATTCTGGGATGTGAAATGCCTCCATCCTTTTGGGTAGATGGGAATGTGGCTCTGTGGATTTATCAAAGGTCATTAATTTATACATTTGGCCATATTTCATTTGGACTGAGCATAATTATTCCGTGATAATGTTGATTTTTAAAAAGAATGGAGAAGATTAGTCTACAGGTATAGTAGGCAGGGTAGAGAAGCATATTAACTCTCAGAGAAACGAAAAGTCATAACAGCTTGAGATAAGTGTCAGAAGAGAAAGAAAAAAATAATCAGAGAAATCATTTCCGTCTTGGCTGTCAGAGTAGATGAATATAGGGTAAGGTTAATACTTTAAGACTGGACTGAAGTTTTCTTGTCCTTTTAAAGACACAAAGTATGGGCTAGGGAAGATAGCAGTAGAATAAGCGCTTGCCTGGCAAGTGCAGGATCCTGAGTTTAATCCCCGGTACCGCAAAAAAAAAAAAAAAAGAATAAAGACACAAAGTAGGCAAACAGCTAAAAAATAAAAAAAAAAGCTTTGGATAATTACTGAACAAAACCTAAGAGAATATTGTTTATTTATGCATTTATTTATTTATTTATTTGGTCTTTTAGATAAACTCACCATTGTGCACCACCCAAGTGGTAAGTATTTGGCATTAAAGTATTTAAGACTAAAACAAAGTATATAAAGCAACTTTAATTAATCTGAATCCAATAACATTGGTCAAGTCAGTGTAAAAGTTCACCCAGATTTAATATTTATATGTAAAACCACTTAATATCCAAAATAAATGTGAGGTAACACTAGAATACCACAGCTAGTGGTGTTGTAACAGGATACAGGATACAGGAAGCAAGAGCTTTGGCTCTGACTGACCTGGTTGTTCACAGCCTGCTCTGTGCGACCTTGCACATCCTTCTGCACTCTGCCAGAAGGGTAGATTCGTGCATGGCAATTGCTGTAGAGACCTGCACTGGTACAGATGTATGGAAATGGAAAATGATGGTCTATATTCCGAAGTTAGAGGCTGGAAATAGGAAGGGGGTCTAGGGAATTGGGGAGACAGGAGGGACAAGGGAAATGGGAATAAAAAAGTTTGAGATGCACTGTATCTATTCACCAGTTTCCCACAATGACTGTATTCTATTTTGCAAACATATACTACTAAAAAGGGGGAAAGAATAGAAGAGCTAATGAAACACATTTAAGGAGAAGGACAGTGTTTCACTCAAATGTGGTAGGGTGGAATGTGTGTCAGGAGAGCACTGAAAGGTAGTGGCCACTTAGGGAGTAGGGAGAACCCAGAAACTGAGGCTGCAGCCTGGACCACAGCCTGAACATGGGAGGGAAACACAAGAGAAGTACAGTTACAGCTGGGGTAGAAAATGAAGAGCCCAGTCAGAAGGCCCAGGGAGCAGTAGGAGCAAGCATTCTTAGAGGAAGGTCCTTTGCCCTTGGGCCACCTCCAAGAGTGATGAGGTGTAGGGAGCAGAGGAGAAATTAATAACATATTTGCCAAAGGTATGTTCCCTTTATGCCCTTTTTATGTTTCATAATTTTTTCTGTTTAGTATTTGTACTCACAGATTTTTCAAGTGATGGTTAAATGAATCATGAATATGTGAATAACTGAAGAGTCGTTAACAGAGTGTGTATTTCTAGGTACCACTACCTGCAATGAAAACATGTTACATAACATCCCCTTAAGCAACAAGGTATGTTGTGTTTATTCTAATGGTTGTAAAATGCAGAAAAAGAAATTTTCTGTTGAGAAAGAACATGTGACTCTTTACTCTATCTGTCCTTTGAAAGAAATATGAACCAAATTGGTTAAATGAACACTTGTGTACAAAATTCATGAGCAGTAACTTAAGGAAGTTAAATAAATTAGAAATACCTTGTATGAAAAAAATAAATAGCTATGGATGTGCTCAGTACAAAATTCCTAGGTTCAGTGCATTCCTCATACAATGAAAAGAAAGAAAAAAATTCATTGTTTGGGGTGAAAAAAGCAAAGAAGATAAAATGCAAAAGAGAAAAAGAAACAATAAGGCCAAAGCATGACTGAATTCAGCATGCACAGAAAAAATAAATATAAGGAGCAGATCAGGCCCCTAATCTCCAAAAATAAGTATGCACAGAAGACTTACAAAAGGACAAGTAACATGAAGTTTGGGGATCCAGGAAGGTCAGAACTCTCTTGGAGCCAAGATAAAGACTTCTCTGGACTGTCTGTATTAATTAGGTCCTTAACAAATTAGCAAGATGAGGGCTGGGGAGATAATGCGAGATGTAGGAAGTGTGAGGCACATCTGAGGAGAAAACACAAAATGAGCCGGTCTCCATAAGTTAGAACAAAAGCATTCCAAGCAGTAAGTCTTACCTCTTTGTTTGGCACTTATTGCCCCAATATAGAAGCTGTCTTATCTTTCCTTCAGAGGCTATGAGTATGAGATTTTCCAACACAGCCAGAGAGCTTTGTGGTCAGCAACTTAACCCTTACACAGCCCAGTCCCTAGCAAATAAACCTCAAAGGAATTATGAGTACATGTGTTTTAGTAATAGGAATATGGTAAGTTTATTTGAGCTAAAACATATAGTACTTAAAATCTAGTTATAGAAAAAATACAGCCCAAACTATTATTGATACAAATATTCTTTTTAAAAAATAATTTTATTGATGCACATATTCTTTTTTTAGTAATTTTATTGAGAAACAAATAGCAGTGAGACAGTTTCAATACTGATGCAAATATTCTTTACTTCATAGATGTAACTGCAAAGGTGGGGGTTTGCCAATTAGCTCAGTTGTTTAAGCTCCTGCTTGGGCAAACCCAGTCAGGTGCAGAGGACCATAGTTTGATCCTCAGCTCCACATACCTTACCAGACCCATCCTGAAGGCAGCCTGAGCCAGCCAAAAGTAAAAAAAAAAAAAATTCTTAACTACAAAGAAATTTCTAAACAAGGTTAAAAATAATATAAATCAAAAACAATAGCAATGAAAAACCCAAACCCACTCAAACAACACTAACAAAGCCCTGACCACAAGTTTCCCTTCATGATGATCATGTTATTCCAGATACCTGTATATATGATGCAGGGAATCTGCACCATTATCCAGTGTTGTATGAGAGCTGGAGTTATTGCTGAAATCTAAAATTAATATCTTTAGCAATCTCTAGAAAGAAACATGTTCTAGTTTTCCAACATTTTAGGGTTGCTTTAATCTTTAATTCCGGATAAATCATAAGTAAAAATAAAAGTCACTCTCCTTTAGAAATTGATTGCGGGCTGGGGAGATGACCCAGTGGAATAAGCACTTGCCTGACAAGCACAAGGGCCTTAGTTCAATCCCTGGTTCCACCAAAAAAAAGGCTTTGGTAAAAATTGATTCCTTGGGGCTAGCCAGCCCTGGAACCCCAGGTGTGCAGTGTCCCCCTAGAAACAAACAATTGGGCATGGTGGCGCACACCTGTAATCTCAGCACCCTGAGGAGTCTGAACTGTGTGGTGAGACCCTATAACAGATAGATAGATGATAGATAGATGATAGATAGATAGATAGATGATAGATAGATAGATAGATAGATAGATAGATAGATAGATAGATAGAATCTCTGGATCATTCTATGGCATCAATAAACTAAGGAGCTGTATACTATTAACCCCAAAAGACTCATTCATAGATCATAATTGTGGGGTACATCAAATCCCAACTTTACGGAAATACCTTGGTCAAGCAAAGATTCTTCTACAAAATCTCAAGGACTACACAACTCTGGTGTGTTTGTTTTGTGTTTTGTTTTGTTTGAAAGCAAGATTTTAGATAAAGGGAATGGATAAATTCCAAGCACTTTGGCAGTCCTCCCTGTAAATCAAAATAAAATTTGAAGGCAGGGAATTTGATGCTGTTGAATTCAGAGCGATTCTACTTCCTTTTAAGATGCACAGTGATCTTGACAGTTGCCTCAACAGAGCTGTGAAAAGCAACAATGATTTTGTCATGTTTATTTTTTTTTTTGAGCCTTAAAATACAGACAGTGATAACTCTTTTTTTTTAATTTTGTAGCTTCCTGCTCCACTCCAAGTTGAAAAGGAATTTGGTTTCTGTTACAGAAAAGATCATTAAAGAAGGTAAAATATGAAGCTTATACTTTAGTAAAACTAAATATTATTTGCTAGGGACTTGAGTCATTTATCTAGGAAATAGCAGTCCTTAAATATTTTATTGTCTTCCCCTGAAAGGATAAACATGTGTATTTTTCAAGCTAAAGGTGATTATGCCTTAGCAAGATTTATGCGCAGGGGGTGATTTTGTGCTACATAATAAATTTCAGTTGATGAGTCATTATTCACGAGTGTGTTTTCTGTGATCTTATCTGCAGGTTAGTATAATGAAACTTGGAAATGCAGATGTCGTGCCTCCTGGGGAAAGCGAGCTCACCTTTGGATTTCCCTCTACCTCCAGGGAGCATCTATACTGTGAATTCTTTTTTTTTTCCATAATTTTATTGAGGAACAAATAACAATGAGACAGTTTTAAAACAAATTGGTAGGACAGATTCAATAATTAAGAAATTGCATACATTCTTCCTGGCGGTTAATTTCTGTACAAGATGCGGACATTATATCATATTTACAAACACTATTAGAACAAATCCCTCCATTCATTAAGAGGATGTAACTATATATCTCTCCTAACCACTTTGAATACACAGATACAAAATGGACATTCATCTGTATACCCTTTTTTTATTTTATTTTTTCCCATAATTTTATTGATAAACAAATAGCAATGAGACAGTTTCAAAGCACATTGGTAGGACAGTTTCAATAATTAACACATTGCATACATTCTTCCTAGTGGTTAATTGCTATACAAGATGTGGACATGATATCCTATTCACAAACACCATTAGAACAAATCATTTTATTCATTAAGAGAATGTAACCATATATCTATCCTAACCACTTTGAATACACAGATACAAAATGGACATTCATCTGTATACCCTTTTTTTGTTAAGTTCTGTTATTTGAATATTATAGATGTGTAAACTCAGCAAAATATTCTAAAAAAGTACAGTAGCCCATAATAGTATTGGGTCTTCCGCTTGATTGGCAATGCCAGAAATTGTTGACCTGAGTGCCCTACAGCTCAACATAATAGCATGACTTTACTTCTTATACTTT